GGCAGTGGGACCCTGCGGGCGCCCCGCGCCAGCCCGGAGATCAGCGATGTGGAGACCAGCTCGCTCCACAACGGCACCAACCGGCTGATGCTCCCCCCCTCAGCCCCGAACCCCCACGGGGCCCCCAGCACCGCTCCCAGCAACACCGAGTCCGTCCACAGCATCTACCACGCCGACTGCCACTTTGAGCCGGTGCGCTGCCGGTCATCCCTCCCGCAGCCAGGCCTTGGCTTGTCGAGCCCAGAGGGGATCCCCAAGAATATTGTGGGTGGCAAAGTGTACCCCACGGTGCACCCCAGTACCTCCCACGAGATGCTGAAAGAGAAGAACCTGGGGGAGGGGGCGGTGAGTGCCGGGAGCAGCACCTTGACAAGCCTCAACATCCCCCCCGGGCCGTACAGCACCATGCACAAGCTGCTGGAGACGCAGAGCACGGGTGAGCCGGGGGCTGGACCTCAGTCTGGGGTTGCCTTCCAGAAATACAAGCTATAACCTAACTTCTTTCTCTTTCTGAATCTTTGCAGGGTTCTTTTCAGTCCACGTTACGGAGAAAGGCGATGGCTTTCCAGGTGAGGCCAACATGAATCTTCTGACCTACCTAATGCATCCGATAGCCAAAACCAGGAGGGAGATTTCAACCTCCCAGACTTCATACTTGCAAGAATCCAAGGGAAATGAATGTTTTCAATGAACCCATTTGCTTCCCTATCCCCATCTCCCCCCCTCAAACCAATTTATTCTGCAATTACAGGGAACACTCCCCAAATCCCTGCGCTCCCCAGATCAGCTAGAACGGGGCTCAGTGACACTAGGCAGAGCTGGAGCCCAGCCTGGCTGCTTCCAAATGGCCACGTCCATTCCTTGCCGAAATGCAGGGGTTGGAGGTGGCTGCGTTGCCCATCACCTGCTGCAGAGCTTGGGGATGGACGCCTTCCAGATCTGAGTCCCAGCACATCCCTGAGCACTACATAGCTCCGCTCCTCGTGGGACACGAGGCTTGGGGAGATTGGGTGTTTGCTTTGCACGAGTGCTCCATGGCAATCGCAGATGCTGAGTAGTAAAAATCTGTGATTGCTCAGGAAGCCCATTACCAAGCTGGACACCAAATGCAGCTTTCCTGGATCAAGGGTTTCATACCTTCATTGCAAGGTGCTCTTTCCCCCTCCACGTCCTGAAGTTTGGGAGCTTGGACCAGTTTAGTCCAAAGCCTCTTAGCCTCCAAGAAACATTTCTGGCCAAGCTTTCCCAGGCGGTCAGTGCCTTTTCCACCCTACGACAGTGGCACTGACGTTTCCAACCAGGAGCTGTGCAGGGAAGAGACCAAGCCCTGCCCCCAGCCCAGACCTGCCCAGAGACTGAACACACAGAGCTGGGCTCAGAGTTGGTTTAGCGCTGGGTTTTTATTCGCACTGCTGCATGATGCTGTGCATGAGTCAGGAGCATCCTTTGCAGATAACCTCTCCCCTTGCAGCCAGCTAATGGGATTTTTGGGGAATATCCGCTGGTATTTTCACCTGGGAGCCACCTGGCAGCTGGGAGCTGGCATTGAGGGCAGCGCTTGGAGAGGAAAGCTGGTGATTTTGGAGCATCAGCAAACAGTGGGAGCAGGAAAGGAGGCTGCTGGCGGCAGCGCTCCCGATAGTTACAGCCCAGACCCTGCCAGGGCCAGGGGAGCTGATTGCTTTCTTCTAGCCATAATGGCCAGAGGTATAACGAGGTGGGCTAGGGGTCCAGGGCTGGTGGCAGTGTCTGCCTGGGGGCAGCAAAGAGGGCTTTGTACTTGGGGAGAAGGTGCTCAGGGAGCCCAGGTTTTGCCTAGGGCTCTTTAACTCAGCAGGAGCCCTTTTCCCCTTAGGAAATACCGGTCGTGTCAAGGGCAGCAGCTTGGTGCTAACGGGGACTGGGGGTTGCTCCCATGGCTGTCCGCAGCCTCCCTGTCCTGGCTGACAGGTTGCCCTGCCCCGCTGGCATTTCAGGTCCCTGCCAAAGCTCCTGCAAGATCTCCAGCCCTTGCACCAAGCTGGACAGTGGCTCCTGCAACCCTGAGAGCTGCCCCTACTGCCTCAAGGCACTGGCGAGCGAGGCTGAGCTGACGGACAACGAGACGGCTGACTCGGACAGCGAGGGGGTCTACGAGTTCACGCAGGATGCCCACTACAGCGACCAGCGGGACCCGCAGCGGGGCAGAGCCCGGGCCAGGAGAGCAAGCCGGGTGCTGGCCTTCTGGCACGTGGTGTGTGAGACCTTCCGGAAGATTGTAGACAGCAAATATTTTGGCCGTGGGATCATGGTGGCCATTCTCATCAACACGCTTAGCATGGGGATTGAGTACCACGAGCAGGTGAGTGCTGTCCCAGCAGCTCCCGGCACAGTGGGGATGCATGTGGTGTTACGGGTGCAAACTGGGCGCTGGCGGGATGGTTTGGGATGAGAGGCATTGGGGTGCTGTAGGAAGGGTCCCAGGACAGAGCAGGACTGGCTTTTTTTCTCTGAGCCTGCTTCCAGCTTGCAGGCAGTAATCACCCTGGCCTGCATGAGCTCCCGCATCCCGGCCCCACCAGGGATGCTCAACACCATGCCGAGACCACCGTCATGTGGGCAGGACCACGCGTTGCTGGGTTCTGCGGCCCGGGGGCCGAGGAAGGGAGCAGCCATTTGCCGCTTGGTTTGTGCCAGCCCGGCAGTGCCAGCGGTGCTGCCGGCGGCTGCGGGCTCCGGGGTCGGTGCAGCTGCAGGCAGGAAAGTCTATTGAATTTGCAGTCCCTGGGGAGGAGGTAACAAATGCCTTTGGCTCCCTGGTGCATGCTCCAGCAACAGCACGCTGAGTCCAAAATAGACTCATTGCTGGCTATTCCTCTGCTCGATTATCAGAGTCCTTGCAGGCAAGAGACTGCCTCTGCTCCAGCCTCTCGCACACTTGTCACCTAGCAGAGCTTTTCCCTATATATAGTCATTAAGAAAAGGAGTTGCCGTGTTCCTCTCGAAATGTCTCCATAAGGATGACAAGAGCTCTGCTTTTAGAGAGGTTTTTGCAGGGTCTGCTCTCACGTACGTTTTGTGGCTGCTGCTGGCGGCACGCCTGGCATGGTGCCCTCGGTCCTGCCGCAGGCATGGGATGGCTCGGTGCTGCAGGTGCACGCTTCGTTTGGATTTGGGGTGAAGAGTTGATTAGCAGGGATGCTGAGATGCTGCAGAACCTTGTTATATACCCCACCGATGTTTGAGGGCTCCCAGGGGCCGGGTGCTTCTCCCGGGATGCCAGACCTCTCCCCTCCCAGACAGACACAGCCACCCCTGTCCCAGTGCCAGCCTTTGCTGGGAGCTCCCTCGCATCTCAGGTCACAGCTGTTTTCTTTTCTCCCTTCCTGGCACGTTTCATGTTTGCAGTTGCATGCAGAGGAGTTTCTCCCACAGCTCGCAGGGGCAGCGGTGATGGCTGCAGGTCGGTTCCAAATTCCCGTGTCCTCCCGTGGCATTAATGCCTCAATGACCGAACGCCAGGGAGACGCGGCTGTGCTAAATGTGTCCCTTCCAGCCAGCACCTTCTCCCTGACGTCCTAATACAGTCTGGCTGGCTAACCGTTGTTTTCAGTACACATTAAACAGCGATGCGCTCTGAAGTCCTGCAGGTTTCACCTTTGTGTGCTGCCCTTGGCAGGGAAGCTTGAGTGATTCCACCTTTATTTAATAATATCGGGAAGATCGTCTCCTAAGAACCTGGGGAGAGGTGGCTCACAGAAACCGATAAACAATTATATTCATCCTTTGGCTGAAAGGTGAAAGTAGATGGGCTGTATCTTTGCTGCGACTGTCCAAGGGGCAGGTTGTCAAAGCTTGTTGCCCTTTATCAGGAGCAACTTTGGGAGATGCTGGTGTAGGCTCCCACCGCGCGTGTACCGGGGACACCATCCCACCGGGGATGGGTGGCTGAGCAAGCTCCCATCGCCAAACACCCTAAAGGCATCACAGCTCCTTAATTCTTTGGCTCAGGGGAAATGGGGCAGCGAGGTGCTGGCCTCTGCCCTGGCCAGCGGTGAGTCCCAGCAGGCAGCTGGATGGGAAGAGGCAGATTTTTGCGGTGGTTTTCAGGTAACAAGGTGAAGGGAGCTGATAAGCGTGGGGAGACTCCAGACGCTGTGGGTGGTTGCTTTCTTTGATGGTATTTTGAAGCTACTACTGTTCCAGATTCCTTTCTCCCAGGCATTTGGAGTGAATAGCGGAGCTTGTTTTTATTAGTTCATCTGCTCAAAGTGGCAGCGGAGAGCAGAGAGGTGTTTTTTTGTAAACTTGGGAGGCTTATAGTCTGCGGTTTCATAATCTGACAGTTATGAGAGCAGGAATTAGAGGGGAGAAATGCTGGACCAGGCCTTTCTGCAGAGATTATAAACAGTGAAACGTGATTTTTTTCTTTTAGAAGAGCCTTTCCTGAAAGTACAAGTGATCAACCATGCCAAATTTATCTTGATTGGCTGATGTTCGCAAAGATGTGAGGGAGCCTGAAGAGTACTTGACTCCATGACTTTCTATATTAAGCTCTTTGCTTATTTAACGAATATTTACCTCTTGGGCTTTTCACATGAGGCCACCCTGGGCATACTGGGCTATATTAGGATAAATACTTTCGGGACATGTTTTATGGTGCCATGTCAAAAGGTTTATGTTTACCAGCACCTTGCAAGAGGGGAGAGGACGCACTAGCAGCTACTTGGTGAGAGGAAGGATGGGCTGGTGGTTACTCAAGGAGGAAGAAGGTTTCTGCCCTCCCATCTGTCCCCAGCAATGTTGGGTGGGATTCAGCAGCTCTAAGACCACCAGAGCATCCTGGACTTCAAGACAGGAGCTGGTCAGCTGAGGTCGTCCTTATAGCCAGGGGAGAAAAATATGCTCCTCTGGAGGTTTTGCATCTCACCTTGGGACAGGCATCCTGGAGGGACCTGCTTTTTCTCCATGGAAGATGCCTAGGAGACTGACACAGTCTTTCAATCACTTGCTTAACAGACTCATCAACCAGAGAAGGCCAGGTGGGCATATTTAGGATGAAAGTGGTTCTTTGAAGGCACCTCAAAATGAGTGGAAATTGGGAGTGTGTTGAAAACTGGCCCCCACCTCTTGCTGTTTATTTGCATTCACCCATCAGTCAGCCTGGCCAGACTGAGCACCCATGGCCAGGGTGCTGGATGCACATACCAAAGGTCGTTTGTGTCCACAGGAGCTTGTCTCCTGCCCAAAGCCCCTCTCCATAGACCACCTTCCACAGTAAAGTCATTGTCCACAAATATTTTACCATCATATGGCTGGGGATTCGGGAGCTGGGTGTCCTCTAAGCTCCTTCTGACGTGAGCTTGCTGACTTTCTCACTCAGCATCAGGTTGCTTCCCTATGGTTCCTGCACGTGTGTGAGCCCTAGGCACACCTGACCGGGCTTAACTCCGCTTTTTCTGCCCATCCAGCTCTGACTTCTCGCCTTTCTCACCACTGCTGGGTCCCCTGGGAGGAAAGCAGAGTGGTTTGAGGGCACACAGCACTCACCACATCACGGCTGCTGGGCAGCAGGGTGCAATTTTCCATCAGGGAGATGACAACCAGATTGCTGCGGATTATTAATGTGACTGCTAAATAGCTTGTTTTTCTACGGAGATGAAGCAAAATGCAGGTAGAAACTATTAGCTTTGGGTAGAGGGATATAAAGGTGATTTAAAGGTGGACTCGGGGGGATTTTAAATACACTGTTGAAGCAATTGACTGATTTGCCTTAGGGAAGCTGAGACTTCGCAGCGCTGCGGGTTCAAACGGCTAGGGCTTTGCAAAAGCTTGTTCTGCCGTAGAGCAGGACTAAAACGTGCTGCTAAACCAGAGGGTTTCTGTGCTGCTTTCCCCCCAGCCCTGGCTGTAAGCCAGGCTGTGTTCCATAATGTGCTGCCTTTTTTTTTCTTTCTGGTTTTTTTTTTTCCTTTCAAAGTCCTTCCTTGGAGTAAAATGCAAAGGCTTTAGTACAAGGCGTGATGTTGGACTCCTCAGCAGGGTAAAGAATTCGGCAAGGGCTTCCTTGAGGAAGGGCTTTGGGGTTTTGTTTTTGTTTTTAAAATCTGGTTCGCATTGAGCTGCCTGGCTGTTCCGATTTTCCTTGTCTGAACTCACATTGTATGAACTATACCCTACATATTCATTTGTTTAAATAGCACTTGAATTTCAGCCACCGTCTCTGCGGTGTTTCGCCATTGTTAACATAACAAGAAAGAGACTGGAGAGTCCTGCACTGGCCTCCCCAAAGCTGCAGTTGGTTCAAATCCATGGCTGGAGCTTGTGGGGACTTGGATCTAGATTGATCCAAAACTCTGGTGTCTCTGAAGGAAGGAAGAAGAAATTGATTCAGACCTGCAGAGAACCTTTTGTTAATTTTCAAAAGCAAGTTGGAGGGATAACGAGGGTGAATGACTCTCTGGGACAGCACCCAAGGAGAAAAGCTCGTCATCCATGGGAGACAGTTCTTCAAGAAAGTGGGAAGAGGCGATGCCTGACATCCCCTCAGCAGGAGGATAACCTCTGGAGTAACCCCAGCTACAGCAAGGAGTTGTAGGAATCCACAAAGCAGCAGGGCCCCAAACCAAGCGTGCAAACGCCGTCTGCGGAAGGCGGGAGCAACCTAAACCCATGGGACTATCTCCAGCTCAATTCCTAGTGCATCCTGCTGCAGGGGCCCGGAGTGTACACCGTACGGATGATGTAAAGTTGTCACTGGTAACATTACCATCTAATAGCTGCTGCGGCATGGAAATATCAACCATCTGTGCCAAAGCGTCAAAGGAAGGCTTGCTGGCAAAATGCATTAAAATGTCTATTTATGTAAACAGTCGAGGCTGGAGAACATGGGAGTCTTCTTAATCGGCGTCAGAGGATGTGGAATTTTTGGGTATCCAGGATGATCAAGAGGGGAGGTGAAGCGTTAGAAAACCTGCCGGCATGGAGGAACCATTAGGCTCCAGGTTCAAGCATTATTAATAGTCACCCAAATGGTCTTTATGTGCTTCTGCTTCTGCCTGAATTCAGTGTGCCGGGAAGAAGGTAACTGAAAAGTATCAGCTGTCGTGACACCCACTGATTGATTTCTCCACGTGGGAAGAAAATTTGATTGCTCCATGGAGAAATGATGTAACGGAGCTGGGCAGTGGGGATTTGGCAGGCTGGGGTGCTTGAGGCTGTGTTAGTGTCCAAAGTCCTGGGCAGGCTGGAGGGCAGCAGGTCTGGATCCATTTGTGAGCACTGCGTCAAGAAATAAGGACGTCTTGGGGATTAGAAGCACTTTGCTCCCAGGACTTGGTGGCCAAGAGCATCCTGACCTCC